ACGCTAAGCGGCAGAGGTGTGTCAAAAAGAGATTCGTGTGTAAAACGGAGCCTGTGCGTAGCACTTAGGCTTTTTTCCGTTCTTCTCTTCGTACAACGTGGTTATTTACACACAGATTGTTCTGTTACAGATACAAATGTCCAATTACACACACACAAATCTGTTTACGCACGCACAAATCTTTTTACACACACACAAATCTTTTTACGCACACACAAATCTTTCTACGCACACACAAATCTTTTTACGCACACACAAATCTTGATACGTACACACAAATATTATTGAAACAATAATAGGTCCATACAAAGCAGGACAGGACCTGGTTAGTGCTGTGATGGGAGACCTCTGGGAACAGCGGGTGCCACAGTGGGGCGGCAGTAAAGTGCCAAACTGTGGTTGTGTCCTTCGGCAAGACACTTCCCCCACATTAGAATGTGTGTGTGAATGGTTGGTGGTGGAAGGACCAGCAGTAGTACAGGACCAGCAGTAGGACAGGACCAGCAGTAGTACAGGACCAGCAGTAGAACAGGACCAGCAGTAGAACAGGACCAGCAGTAGTACAGGACCAGCAGTAGGACAGGACCCGCAGTAGTACAGGACCAGCAGTAGAACAGGACTGGCAATAGTACAGGACCAGCAGTAGCAGTAGGACAGGACCAGCAGTAGGACAGGACCAGCAGTAGAACAGGACCAGCAGTAGAACAGGACCCGCAGTAGTACAGGACCAGCAGTAGAACAGGACTGGCAATAGTACAGGACCAGCAGTAGCAGTAGGACAGGACCAGCAGTAGGACAGGACCCGCAGTAGTACAGGACCAGCAGTAGAACAGGACTGGCAATAGTACAGGACCAGCAGTAGCAGTAGGACAGGACCAGCAGTAGGACAGGACCAGCAGTAGGACAGGACCAGCAGTAGAACAGGACCAACAGTAGTACAAGACCAGCAGTAGCACTAGCAGTAGGACTAGCAGTAGGACAGGACCAGCAGTAGGACAGGACCAGCAGTAGAACAGGACTAGCAGTAGGACTAGCAGTAGGACTAGCAGTAGGACAGGACCAGCAGTAGAACAGGACTAGCAGTAGGACTAGCAGTAGGACTAGCAGTAGGACTAGCAGTAGGACAGGACCAGCAGTAGGACAGGACCAGCAGTAGAACAGGACTAGCAGTAGGACTAGCAGTAGGACTAGCAGTAGGACAGGACCAGCAGTAGAACAGGACTAGCAGTAGGACTAGCAGTAGGACTAGCAGTAGGACAGGACTAGCAGTAGGACAGGACCAGCAGTAGAAGAGCAGAGACAAAAAGCCTTAAGCGCTGACACAGGAGGTCACATGTGTCTGAGTGATTAATGGTCCCACATGGTTTGGAATACACTAATGCTGTGCTATTTTTGGCATCTGTAAAGGTTTTTTGTTTTTTGTTTTTTTTACCAGTGAAACAACAACAAAGACACAGACTGTGGCTCGTGTGGTACCATCAAACAGACACATGGTTTTACCCTGCATCTCTGTGTTGATGGAGAGAAAGTCTGAATGGTCTCAGCAGGGAGCGCACCAGCTGACAACACAGAACTGTCCAGAGGAATTACACCATGTACAAACAGACACTGTGAGCAAATGTCTGCACGCCATCCCAAAAATTATGCAAATTTCTTTCTGGTCTCTCTCTGGTCTCTCTCTGGTCTCTCTCAGGTCTGTCTAAGGTACCTCTCTGGTCTCTCTCTGGTCTGTCTAAGGTACCTCTCTGGTCTCTCTCTGGTCTCTCTCAGGTCCCTTTCAGGTCTCTCTCAGGTCTCTCTCTGGTCTCTCTCAGGTCCCTTTCAGGTCTCTCTCAGGTCTCTCTCTGGTCTCTCTCTAGTCTCTCTCTAGTCTCTCTCTGGTATATCTCTGGTATCTCTCTAGTCTCTCTCAGGTCTCTCTCTGGTCTCTCTCTAGTCTCTCTCTGGTATATCTCTGGTATCTCTCTGGTCTCTCTCAGGTCTCCCTCAGGTTTCGCTCAAGTCTCTCTCTCTCATCTTTCTCAGCACTGTCTCACGTGTCTCTTTTGCTCTCTCTGTTTTTTCCTGCCTCTCTCTCTGGTCTCTCTCAGGTCTATCTCTGGGTCTCACTGGACTCTCTCTGGTCTCTCTCTGGTCTCTCCCAGGTCTCTCTCTGGTCTCTCCCAGGTCTCTCTCAGGGTCTCACTGGTCTCTCTTTCTCTCTGATGTTGAATAATTCACAGAGCGAGAAAGTCAGAATGGTCCCAGCAGGGGGCGCACCAGCTGACAGCACAGGCCTGTCAAGATGAAGAAGTATCACACCATGTACAAAGAAATGGCTGTCTGAAAATCTCCCTGAAATAATGCTAATTTGGAGAAGCAGCAACAATGTTATTCAGACTGAGAGATCTACAGGAAAGGTTTAAAAGAGAGAAGTGTTTGATGTGTTTGCATATAAGGAATAACTCATGGTCCAATTGTGAGAGAGACAAGTGAGAGAGACAAGAGAGAGGGACCAGAGATAGACCAGAGAGAGACCAGAGAGAGACCAGAGAGATGGACCAGAGACAGAGAGAGACCAGAGAGAGAGACCAGAGAGAGACCAGAGAGAGAGACAAGAGAGAGAAGCCAGAGAGAGAGACCAGAGACAGAGAGAGACAAAGAGAGACCAGAGAGAAAGACAAGAGAGAGACCATGGAGAGAGACGGGAGACAGACAGAGACAGGAGACAGAGAGAGACCAGAGAGAGAGACAAGAGAGAGACAGGAGACAGAGAGAGACCAGAGAGAGAGAGACCGACAGACCAGACACCAAAGAGAGACAAGAGAGAGAGACAAGAGAGAAAGACCAGAGAGGGTCTGGATAGGTAGACCAAAGACAGAGAGAGACCAGAGAGAGAGAGACCGACAGACCAGACACCAAAGAGAGACAAGAGAGATAGACCAGCGATAGAGACCAAAGAGAGACAGAGACCAAGAGAGCCTGAGAGAGAGAGCAGAGAGAGAGAGTCCTCTGAACTAATCTCTGTCTGGCAAACAAGCCGATCACAGGTACACCTGATAATCTAATAAATACATGAGGACTTTTTCTCATACAAAGTCAGCTCTAATCCCACAGTCCGTCTTGACGTCTTGGGTTCTGATCCCAAAGTCTTCAGTGAATATTTACATGTGGTAAATCAACAAGCTTCTTCAAACATTAGCACGCAACAAGCTAACGCACTTGAAAGACAGTTGCATGATTATCCCATGTCAGATTCAGATTCTGATTCATTAATTTGCTGTTTGCAGTAAAACCCCCTTGGATTACATTTGCAAAGGTCCTCACTCCTCAGTGTGCACCAGACGAGTACATCAATAAAACAGAGCTCTCACTGCTTCACGTCTCGCTCGCCGGTCTCTGCAGCGGTGGTGGGTGCTTCATGATTCACTGGTAAATGGAGACAGGCTCAGGGGCGGAGATGGCTTTGGCAAATGGTTCACGTCTCGTTTTATGCTCATTCGCAAATTGACGGAACGCAGTGTGTTTTCTCGGAGGCGTCGGCATCCAACATGTGCATCGTGAGCGGCTCTTGCAAATGTGAGTGGTGTCATAGCAAGAGCCGCCGCCAGACTATATGCAGACTTTTTGTTTATTCTACACACAAAAAGGCAAAATGGCAGGACTTACTGGAGTATTACTGTACACAAGCCTTTTTTTTTTGGCCAAGTAGAGGCAACATTGGATTATAAGGCTGTAATGTAAAATCATGCTGATAGAAATCTGGTTAAAAAGTCTATTCTCCACCACGGTACTCATTTCATTTCATACTAAGATCTGGATTTGCTCCATTGACTCCGTTGACAGGTGGGAGGGGTTAACTCCTTTTGCAGATTGAAACCATTGGATCTGAGTTTACCGTGACGTATATAATGAACCCGAGTGAGTGAGGCATTTAGCATTTTGCCTAGCATTAGCATTTAGCCTAGCTTTAGCCATCTCCTTTGCTGCTAACGGAGCCCGTGGGGAGTGGAGCCACAACATCTTTGCTTCAATGACATTTACTAAACATTCCTCTTGCTCCGGCTTCAGTTTCTTGATATTTGGATTGAACCAGAACAGATTATTTTACTATCGCATTCTCCGACAAACTACAACCAGCAAATTCAGCACAAACTCTTGACGTCACCGACACCGACCTACAACACCCGCCTCCCCCGCTCTCTGATTGGTCAGAGGGGATTCAACCGAGGAAACTGCAGCCACTAGGATCAGACCCAGACGTACATGTAGGAAATTACCATGGACCAGAGTTTACACATGGTAAGACCAGACGTACATGTAGGAAATGACCATGGACCAGAGTTTACACATGGTAAGACCAGACGTACATGTAGGAAATTACCATGGACCAGAGTTTACACATGGTAAGACCAGACGTACATGTAGGAAATTACCATGGACCAGAGTTTACACATGGTAAGACCAGACGTCCATGTAGGAAATGATCATGGACCAGAGTTTACACATGGTAAGACCAGACGTACATGTAGGAAATGATCATGGACCAGAGTTTACACATGGTAAGACCAAACGTACATGTAGGAAATAATCATGGACCAGAGTTTACACATGGTAAGACCAGACGTCCATGTAGGAAATGATCATGGACCAGAGTTTACACATGGTAAGACCAAACGTACATGTAGGAAATAATCATGGACCAGAGTTTACACATGGCAAGATCATCACTGTCCTTAGACCCTCCTGCATCAACTAAAAAAAAAAAAGTGGGAAACTTCAGGGAGACTGGTGTTGAGAGAAGGAGGTGTAGCTCCAGCTCTAATCACATGTTTCTCTGCACACCTCTCTGCTGTTCACATAAACACACTGAAGCAGGAATGTGTCCACACATCTGGAGATCAACAGCTGATAATAGAGCAGAGTCCAAACCCAGGGGGCGCTCTGACAAACCCAAAGTTTGTGTGTGTGTGTGTGTGTGTGTGTGTACGTGTGTCTGTGTGTGTGTGTTTCCCACTCACCTGTTTCCCACAGGCTTTTCTTCCAGATCATGAGGCTTGAAGAACCACCGCCCAATCCTCACAAAGCCCTTATCCATTAAACATCTGCAACACACCACAACACACAACCCACAACGCACAACATACAGACAAAACACACAGATACAGAGATTAGTAAACGCACAATAAGAGACAGAAAATATACTATATATACATGTATATCTCCAGCTTCAAAAATAACAGAAATCCTCATGTTGTTAGATGCTATACCTCAGAACTTCTCATACTCTGGTCTCTCTCTCTGGTCTCTCTCTGGTCTCCCTCTGGTCTCTCTCTGGTCTCTCTCTGGTCTCTCTCTGGTCTCCCTCTGGTCTCTCTCTGGTCTCTCTCTGGTCTTTCTCTGGGCTCTCTCTGGTCTCTCTCTGGTCTCTCTCTCCGGTCTCTCTGGTCTCTTTCTGGTCTCTCTCTCCGGTCTCTCTGGTCTCTCTCCGGTCTCTCTCTGGTCTCTCTCTCCGGTCTCTCTGGTCTCTCTCCGGTCTCTCTGGTCTCTCTCTGGTCTCTTTCTGGTCTCTCTCTCTGGTCTCTCTCTCTGCTCTCTCTCTTTACGTGTGAAAATTTCCATTACTATGATTCTTGCGGCGTCAGGAGCCGTGTCACTTCCTCTTCTGTGGTAATGGACGAGCATCAATAATGTATCAGCAGAAAAATGTCACTTGTGCCAAAGAGAGAGCGGAGGAAGAGGAAGATGTCCTTCATGGTCCTGGGACTGAACTCTGGGCTCTCACAAAGAACAACCTGTGTTTGATTTTCTGATCTGTGGTTGGTGGATTGACAACTAAGTCAGTCCTCCCAGAAAACTACTGCTGTGATCCAAGCAGGAGCAAAACACAAATACTATAGGTTTATGGTTTTTATCTAACCCCTGGTTTTTATCTATAGGTCTTTATCAGAGTGAATGGACATCAAAGAGGTTCACCTGGACCACAGACTGGACTGGGAGTCTACCTGGACCACAGACTGGACTGAGAGACCCCGGTCCAGTCTGTGGTCGCATGTTCTTTGGGGTCGCGTGTGGTGTGTCCTGTGTTTCATGTGTGTACCTGTGTGTCTTGTGTGTACCTGTGTGTCGTGTGTGTACCTGTGTGTAGTGTGCACCTGTGTGTAGTGTGTGTCATGTGTGTACCTGTGTGTAGTGTGTGTACCTGTGTGTAGTGTGTACCTTTCCAGCAGGTTGTGGATGGCCTTGAACAGCAGCGTCCGACACTCGTAGGACAGTCCACACTCCCACAGGCCCTCTTCACACACTGAGGAACACACACACACACAACACACACTGTTAGAGCAACACAACACACACTGAGGAACACACACACTTTAGAGGAACACAACACAGAGTCAGAGGAGCAGAAGAAGAACGTTGACATTTCAAACCAAGTGTCTGGGGTTTAGTGTGATATGTTGTGACCATAGACTGTAAATATTATATAGACGTAGTCGCGCCTATCTCCACCGTTCTAACTAATGGGCCTAATTGGGTGCTCAAGGAGTGATTCAAAATGGCCGCGGGGGCTGAAAAATGTGAAAAAACACATCTGCGCATGCGTCAGCTGCGCACTGGTCCAGAACACTCCCCTCAGCACTGACACACATTTGGAACGGAGTTTTGGGCCAAGAGCCAACTTTTCAAGAGGAAAGAAGATGCTATATGTTAGCATTGGCTAATTCTTATTCCGGGTCCACCCCCGCAGGCCCGGGGTGGTATTGCAGCATGTCAGCGCACGTCATTTTGGCCACTTTTGAGCCGGGACCCGCCCACACTGGTTGTGTGTGACATGTTGTGTATATAAACAGTTCATGGACCGTCCAATCAGGAGCTGCCAACGTCACAGATGTTTCAACATCAGATAAACAACACAACAAGTGGAAAGTCATTGCATGATGTTGGAACTCTGTGATTCTCTGATCTGCTTTTGGAGAATCGACAGCTTAGCAAAGTCCTCCGAGGTCATTGTGACGACGACTGTGATTTAGAGCTGCACAAAAATACACTGAACCTAATGTTATTTCAATTCTATTTCAGAAAAACCCGCCTCCTTCAGATCCACGTGTGCCTTGTCAACAATCAACCCCTGTCACCAACCCCCCCCCCCCCCCCTCCACCTCCTCTTCTTCCTCCTCCTCTTAGTCCTCCTCCTCTTCCTCCTCCTCCTCTATCTTACCCACAGCAACACTGTCTCTCTTTGTTCTGAGTCTTACACCTACAGGGCTTCTGGAAAAGACACACACACACAGACACACACACACAGACGCACACACACACATACACACACACACACACCTCATGAGAAGTTAGATCCGAGGGGGCGGTAAGAAACCCTGCGATGGTTCTTAAAGTCTCTCTATGTCTGCCCTTGTTGCTTTGTTGTCATTCCCCTCCCTTATTCCTGTCTTCTAGTTGCTGTGTGTGCGTCTGTGTGTGTGTGTGCGTCTGTGTGTGTGTGTGTGTGCGCGCGGCAGTGAATGAAATTTCCTTAGTCGCCAGAAATTGCACTGTCGCCATGGAAACGCAGGCGGTTGAGAAAATGGCGCCCTGGCATTCAGTTTCTACACACGCACACACACAGACACACACAGACACACACGCACACAGACACACACACACACACACACACACACACAGGTCCCTCTTGTGCCCCCCCTCCCACCTCCAACATCTCGTGCATCTCGTCTCCTCTCTGGAATCTTCTTTTACAGCCAATGTTTTAAAGCTGTGCGCAAATTAACATAAACCATACATTTTGCCAAAAAAAAAATCCCATTTTTTACTTTATTGTCACTTTTTGCAGTGAACACACAGATAGTCCAGGGTTAACTTTATTTTCGGTTTTGTTTTGTTATTTGCCAACCCGTGTGTCCTCCATAGTTCTACTTCCTGTTGTGCGACGACCTTTCCTGTCCCCAGTTGTCTTGCCTGTGTCTTAATAATAATGTGTTTTTAAACTTCTTAATTCTGTGATATCTCCACGTCTCTAAACACAGCTTTTTACCATGTTTTGCCCGTTTCTCTGAGTGATATCATTGTACAACAGCAATCCTCGAGTACCGTCAGAATCTGTGTTTATCCCACCCAAAATAATGTCTTCTCTCTGGATCCAAAATAAATAAACAAATTCTCCAGATTTTTTCTGACTTTTGGCTGTTACTGAGGAGGAAATGTGACGGCGCTGATGCTAACGGGTCAGATCTGATAATACTGAAATGGGCTCTATGCACGCACCACTTCCGCGTTTTAGCTACTACCCCACTTCACTTCCTGTTCGCGGGAAATGGCTTGAGTTTCACTGGAGTTCAGCAGTGGTTTACACGAGTTTCCTAAATAATGCTCAAACGGGAATTAAACTGTGAGGATACTGGGCATTTTTGGGACACAGCAGTGCTCTTTGATTGTGCTGTCATTGTGTTTTTATAAAGTTTACAAATCTCTCTGAGTGGCCACAGTCAAAGCTCTACCTCAGAGAGAAAGCACAGCGACACTTTTGGGTCAGTCTCAGCTGAATGTATCGATCTAATTACTAAAAAACGTCACTAAAACCCACCTAAAAGCCATAGGATAGCATAGGCAGGAAGTGAAAGGGCTGTTCCTTGTTAACAGGAAATTACATCACGCCTCCCCGTGCATATAGCCCATACAACTGTCATATGTACTTTAACATGCTAAAGCTAGAGATGTTATACTAGCTTCTTTATTATGCTAAAGCTAGATTTTATACTAGCTTCTTTATTATGCTAAAGCTAGAGATGTTATACTAGCTTCTTTATTATGCTAAAGCTAGATTTTATACTAGCTTCTTTATTATGCTAAAGCTAGAGATTTATACTAGTTTCTTTATTATGCTAAAGCTAGATTTTATACTAGCTTCTTTATTATGCTAAAGCTAGATTTTATACTAGCTTCTTTATTATGCTAAAGCTAGAGATTTTATTTTACCAACACTAATGCATTGTTTTGACTCCCACTTCCATCTGGCGTCAAATCATGGGAAATATTTGGCACCAGCAGCACTTTGTCGCTGGTGCAGACTCTGGTGCCATGTCCAGGATCACGGCAGATGTGTGTTATTATTCCGTTAATATTCTGTTATTATTCTGTTATTATTCCGTGTAACCTTGGTTCTCTTGTGCCACAAAGCTCTCAAGCATCCAGCCCCAAACACAAACAGGCAGTGATGGAACTGGGTCGTCACAAGCACTCAGCTCTCCCCCTCTCTCATCTCTCTCTCTCCTCTTTCTCTCTCCTCTCTCCTACCTCTCCCACCTCTCTCTGCTCTCCCCCCTCTCTCTCTCTCTCCTCTCTCTCCTCTCTCTGCTCTCTCTCTCCTCTCTCTGCTCTCTCCCACCTCTCTCTCCTCTCTCTCACCCACCTCTCTCTCCCACCTCTCTCTCCACCTCTCTCTCCACCTCTCTCCCACCTCTCTCTCCTCTCTCTGCTCTCTCTCTCCTCTCTCTGCTCTCTCCCACCTCTCTCTCCTCTCTCTCACCCACCTCTCTCTCCCACCTCTCTCTCCACCTCTCTCCCACCTCTCTCTCCTCTCTCTGCTCTCTCTCTCCTCTCTCTGCTCTCTCTCTCCTCTCCCTGCTCTCTCTCACCAAAAACCAGAGAGAGACAGAGAGAGAGAGAGAGAGACCAGTGAGAGACCAGAGAGCAACTGAGAGAGAGATCAGTGATAGAAACCAGAGAGAGACCGGAGAGACGAGGACAAGTGAGAGAGACCAGAGAGAGAGCAGAAGGAGAGAGAGAACATGTGTTATTTTAGGTTAAATGTGGTGAATGTCCGGCGCCGACGGCCGCCAAAGGAGTGATTGGAAAGACCACAAAGAGAAAGAGAAGAACGTGAGGCGCCTGTTCCCTCAGAGGAAAGCAGAGTCAGCAAACGCCATAATCACAGCGGACTCAAAAATATTAATCCCCCAGACCATCAAGAGGTTCTTTATGGTTTGTTTCCGTCCAAAGTCAATACCAGTGTTAGTCACAATCGACCAGAACCGACGGGTTCAAAACAGAGATGGACATTCTTATCTTTGTCTGCGCTGTCGGACTGAAACGACTGCTCTCTGGTCTCTGCAAACCATGGAGCAACACTGAAGCTGGAGTCCTGACTAGAACCAGGAAGTACCATCACATTAGTCCTGACTAGAACCAGGAAGTACCATCACATTAGTCCTGACTAGAACCAGGAAGTACCATCACATTAGTCCTGACTAGAACCAGGAAGTACCATCACATTAGTCCTGGTCTCAGGTCTCTGCACCTGTGGCTGCAGCCGCCCCACTGTGGCACCTGCTGTTCCCAGAGGTTATGTGTCTTGCCCAAGGACACAACAACAGCAGACAGTGGAAGGCGGTGGAGAGAGTCTTGTGGTGGACTCGAACCCACAACCTTCAGGCTCAAAGGCCAATGCCCTACTGAGCCACTGTCGTCCCTAATAAAGAAGTTAAAATTAGAAGTCTTAATTCTCTAACTTTGATAAAGAAGGTCATGTAAAATACTGTATATTTTAGTACATAAACAGACTCTCTCCGGTACCAGAGAGAGAGACCAGAGAGAGACCAGAGAGAGACCAGGGAGACCAGAGGGAGACCAGAGAGAGACCAGAGAGAGAACAGAGAGTGACCAGGGAGAGACCAGAGAGTGAGACCAGAGAGAGACCAGTTCTCTGGGAGAAATCTGCTTCCACTGATGACTGCTGTCGTTGTGTCCTTGGGCAAGACACTTAACCCCACTTTGCCTGAAGCCCCCACTGAAAGACCAAGGCCATGTCTTGGGTGCAGCTCTGACCCAGAAATGGAATAATGAAAAGGGAGAAAATGACATGACAGATTTGTTGGCTGGTTCTTTCCTAAAATTTGGGAAAATCATCCTTTAATTATAATAATGCCTAAAAACCTTAAACCATTTTTATTCCTTATCAGCTTTAATTAATATCCTGTCCTTAAACTGTGAGGACCTGGAACAGTCCTGGAGCCGGAGCCTTTTACAGCCTCGTAAAGTCTGTCGTTCTGGCCTCGAGAGCGACACATAAAGTCTGTAGTTCTGGCCTCGAGAGCGACACATAAAGTCTGTAGTTCTGGCCTCCAGAGCGACACATAAAGTCTGTAGTTCTGGCCTCCAGAGCGACACATAAAGTCTGTAGTTCGGGCCTCGAGAGCGACACATAAAGTCTGTAGTTCTGGCCTCGAGAGCGACACATAAAGTCTGTAGTTCGGGCCTCGAGAGCGACACACACGAGAGGTAGCGACAGGCCGA